AACGGCAAGCCGACGATTTATTACAGAAGAGCCGGCGGCTAACGAGGAACACTCTCCCCTCTAACAAAGACATGCAGTTGTATACAATGTGCTAAAAAGCATTGCGGCGACTGCAAAAATGTCAGAACGTTGAAAAAGTGGGAGAAGGGAGCATTTTGAATTCTGGTGGCAGAACTGCACCACTGCTTCGATCTTCGATCGCGAACCTTGCTAGAACAACCAAAAGGGAGCGAAGAAGAAAAGTAAGAACATTCTAAAACAATGAATTAAAAATACAAGAAGCTCTGCAAGGATGGGAAAGAAGAGACGAGAGCAGTAGAAGACAACATTGCACGCTTGCATTGGTCAAGACAGCAGTGATTATGATTGAAGGAAAGTTTTGAGAATGGGATTAGATAACAGAAACAACAATCGAAACAATGATCAAGTCTTTGTGTGCGATGGGGGATGAGGGATGTGTGAAAGAATAATGCCATTGTTGGAAGACAAAAGTGGGGACATATGCTTGTGCCGTGCGCTAAGCTAAGCGAATGCGAAAAGGGGGAAGGTGCGATTGGGATTAACCTTTACCAAACATCAACAGCTTCAGAAGTAGAAAGAACACTGTGGTCATCAAGTAAGACCTTTATGTAAGCCACATAATAGAGTTTCAACGATGATTTCATCGTCTTCATGACTCAGTCATTGCACCTTGGCAGAAGAGGTTACATCACGGCAGTGCTCGCTCACTGTGCGAAGTGCTTCGCACAGAAGGCATTTCGCAAAAAGTGTTCGCACAAAGGAAGAAAAAGCTGTAACAGAAGAAAAAATCTGGGGTTTTCTAAGGGCTGGGGAGTTCTACGAATTCACAATGAACAACTACTCATATTGTTCTGATGAATCGAACGCGAGGGGGTCGCTAACTTCAAGTTGATCACACTGTTATCCGACAAGAAGACTTCTACGACGACGAGGTCGAAAGCAGATACAGCGACGACGAGAGCATGGACGACGACAATATTGTTTACAAGACATGCGGGAGGAGGTTACTTACTTGTGCTGTCGTTATGCTGTTGCGGTGTTGTCGATGTGGCGGTGGTGTAATATGGCGATGGGTATTGGTGAAACGTGCTGCTGGGTGCAAATGCGCTTTTTGGTGAGGAAAAAAATATGTAGGAGGGATGGAGGAATGAGAGGGAAAGTGGGAGGAATGGGGGGTTTATATACACCACTTGAACAGCTGGCTGCTCACATGTCCGAATTAAAGGACAAGTATTCATTTGTAGTGTGCGTGCAGACTGTGACTCAAAGATGGTAGGGCATATTGTCAGTGAGGTGGTTGAACTCTATTCAGGTCACAAGAGATGAAAGCCGGGTCCAAGAAAATGAAATTGTGGAACAGCATTGCGACATAGAGATACCAATAGCAACGGATCTTGAGATCGGCAGTGCGAGATAATACTTTGCAAGTCTAGGAGTTTTGAAGCACTTTTGGCAAGTTTGAAACATGTCGTACTATCCTGAAGTGATGTTCTGCTGCATATGAAGGAACCCGAGTAAAGACGAATGCATAGAAAAGGGCTCAATGCTTAAGCGAGAACATGTGAAGAAAATAGGAGAAGGAATTTATAGTTTGAAAGTTCTTCGCAATGGAGCTTTCATCAAATTACGTTCTCATAAAGCATGGTCAATTGCTGCTTCCTCGACTGTTATCTGTAGTGGGACCTCTTCAGCGAGCATCAAGCAGATCTGTCTTTCCCAAGAGATCTTAGAGCAGAAGTGAGACGAGACTATGATAGCACTGAAATCATCCAGATGAGATGGAATTTACGTTATGTAAGTAAAAAAAGATAGAAGGCAGTGGAGTTGGTCTGCGATGTCGGTGCGGGCACACACATGCTTGAATCGACAATTGAAGCTGAAATTGACCCGCTCGGGATATGCGACAGACGATGAATGATTCTCCGGAAGTAGTAGATATCAAGGTATTCCTCTTTTATGAACGCGAAGTTCCTACCCAATCTGCTCGCATAATGCAGCAATATTGAACATTGTCAACGGATACCTTGAATGATGAAAGCGATTATCCAATTTAATCTCTGACCTCAAGACATGGGAATTGCAACCATCAGGAACACGTTACAAGGTGTCATTGATTCCATGTTCGTATTCATGTGTCATGAAGATTTTGGAGTGCTGTGCCCTAGTCGAGAAATATACTTTCCCCTAACTCAGCCGAGCACAAACCACAACTTCGTGATGACAACAAAACACAACCAAAATCCTACTATTAGGCAGAGTGGAGAGAGGGAATAAGAGGAATTAACGAATTTAACACAAGTTCAAGAAACTTTGTAATTTCTTGTCAATCAAAGGCCAGAAGTGTTCTGTGTTGAGCAGATGATCAGAATATGCTTTTTCACAACGTCAACATATCAGACCACATTTCGCACTTGCATACTTTGGTCGCGATTGGTGCATTAAAAGCTGGAACATGGAATAGAAAAGAACACGTAGGAAGTAACGCCTTACACTATCATGGCTTGTGAGTCAATAAAATTTACAAAATGAGCATCTGATCGAAATATACTTTCCCTAACAACATACTAAGAGAATACAAAGACAACTATGCAGTACTAACGTTTCCCGCACGTCATGATAATACTCGAAGAGACCACATTCTCCCTTGTTCTATTCAATCTCATCTCTGGTTCAAGAATATGTGACAATTAAGAAGTGGTGACCACTGGACCTTCATAGCAGATGACTCGACTGTATTCAAGACCATCGGAAGTCAACTGGACCTATACGTCATGATATTTATGTAAGAGCCACAGATGGTATAGAGCATCTATCTTCTAAAAGAAACATTTGCTGAAAGCACAAGTGTTCCAACTGTAGAGGCTGGAGGGGGAGGAGAAACGGAATTGAGGTGGCATGACATTGAGCATGATTATCAAATATCTAATGATAAAGGAATACAGTAGGAGACATTGGAGGAAGCACCTCGAAGTACTGCAAGTGACGAGTTCGGCTCTCATTGGGAAAGAAAGAGTTGCAGCTGTGCTTTCACTTCGATATCATCGACTTGAGAGCTACTCACGTGACTATGCTTGCCAATTTCTCCAAGCCCTCTTCACTTGATGGTGTCAAAGACAGAGGTTCGGAAAGTCTCAAAACTATGAATGAAACAATATTAAGGTTACCTTCAAATAGGCCGCAAGTAGCAGACCTCTGTCCTGCGTTCTTTGCTATTGTCTCACCTAGGAGCTGAGAGAAGCAAGGGCAGCGCGTCGAGTTTCAAAGCTTATATTGAACAGATAGTCAGTACTCGAGACTTTCGAGGTAAAGGTCGTGGGCTTACTGTGTCTTTGGACCTGAAGAGAAGACAACGGATCCGGCACGGGCTGGGATGGGTAGCTCTCGTCACATGACTAGGAGTGCCTTCACCGAGCTGAGATACAGGCGAGAAACGACCGCTGGGCATTGAAAGATCCAAGATTTATCGATAAAGCTTCAAATGGATAGCAAGAAGTTGTGAAGAATGGAAAGTGGAGAAATTTGTGATACACCAGCCCGCGTGCAAAAATGGAGGTTCTTGCTGAAACATTGGAGGACAAAAGCAAAACCAAGCGAGAGATATCGAAGGATCACGACAGAAAACGTTGAGCAGAGAAATTTATGCCTGAAATACGACGTCTCTGTTTGGAAAGTACCATTTTCCTGTAATAAATTCACTTCCAGTCCATATCAAAACATCACGTGAATTGGATATGCCGATGAGTCCTCAATATTCCTACGACACCTGCTACTCAATTAGTATCAAGTTAATCGATGTTCCATAGATCAGATGCCTCATAAGCCCAGAATCTTACGCATAAAACATCATCCTAGCAGTAGAGGAAGTCTCGCTGTCTCCGAATCCTGCTTTCTCCTCTGCCAAGACATGTAATTAAATTCTGTTCCTCTTGATCTTCACCTTCATGTTCGGTGTTGTACTTCGGATATTTACCAACGTTATTATTTTGAGGCTGAAAATGATGGTTCATGCAAACATTTTTAGAACAATCCTTCGAAATGCAAGAGGATCAGATCCCCTGCGTTAGAGCCTCGGTACGGCTCGGCCCCTGATTCTCAATACACCGCCTCACTTTCTGCCATCATCACCATAAACAGCAAGTGGGGCATCTCTTTAACCCCTTTCCCCAACATCAAGCTTCAGACGAAACATGAAGATACTCGTATAATTCGGATGTACCAGAACAGTTACGATTTGTTCTGTGTCTCTTTCAGAAGACTATCGAACGACTTGGCACGATGTATACGTCCAATTAAGCTTCAAGCCTCATCCGTGCGAATACGCCGTCTTACCTCTGGAAAGAACGAAGGATCAATAGCATAATTTATATCACTCTCACTTACAGCACCAACCCAGTCAACTCTACCAATTCAGCTGCTGCCTCAAACGCAGATACGGATCAATCCAATCTGGCTCGGCTTCGATGGATAGCTCCGTCCGGGGAAATTTCCGTGCCACCTATGGTTCTGGATACTGTGCCATCCTCCGGCATTCAAAATATGCTCCGTTCCCGATCCTTGCCATGAAGTTTGGATAGCATCAATCTGACATAATCAATATCTCTCATCCCAAGATCCCTTGTTCTCTTCTCGACGAATCAAACTCAGAAGCGAGAATTTCCATGAGCTAGTTTACGAATCCGAGCTTCAAAATGAAACGCCAGAAACCTTGGGGTCTGGGATGTGTGCAATTTATGCGTACGGGATCTGGATCGGAGAACAACAAATTGGCGAACAAGTTGGTTCGCACCTTTCATACGACCGATGATCCGGCTCAATGCGGTCTGTGACTTCAATCGCGAATTGTATAAGTATTCCGCCTTGCCCTCGAGATTTTCGTTCATCATCACAACATCATCAACTACAGCATCAACAATCTACATACATCCAAACCAATACCCACTTCCACACTTTCCCAGTAACTACCATCAAAAACCATCAAAATGCCTTTCATCACTCTCATCAACCCTCAAGTGCCAGCTGGCAAGGAGACCGAGTTCCTGGCCGCAATTGAGAAGGCCATTCCTGAGATGAAAGCACAACCCGGTGTTCTCGGAATCTCTGCCGGTCCCATCGTCGCCATCGACGGCAAGGCAATCAGCGAACTGAAGTACATCGAGACCGTTGGTAAGAACTTGCCCCTCCAGACTCTGGTCCAGTATTCAGCTAACATCTGCATCCACAGCGTTCGCAACCAGAGAAGACGAGCAAGCTTTCGCCAACAGCGAATGGATCCAGAACAAGCGCAAGGAGATGGAAGCCCGAGGAGTCGAGCCTCCCCGCCACGCCCTCTTCGCCTGCTCCGAGTTCCCCGCCGAGAAGGCCACCCACCCTTTCGTTCGCTTCTCCCGCATCACAGTCTCTGACGAGAGCAAGATCGACGACGTCAGGGCCGCATGGAAGGAGTTGATGGGTGCCATTGGCAAGGATGTCTGGGGAGCCAAGAGCGTCGAGGGCGAGGAGATTGTCGGTCTCGGTGTCTGCGGATTCGACAGTTTGGAGGAGGCTGAGGCGGCTTTCTCTAAGCCTGAGGCGAAGGCTGCTTTGGACAAGTACCATGCTTTGGGACAGTGCAAGGATGTTGTTGTCAAGCTTACTGTCTACTAGATGGGTAGTCATCATCATGGAATCGATGGAACAGAACGAATTTCTTTGTCAGTCGTTATCTTGGAGATACAGCATTGTTTGCGGTAGTTTAGATTGTTAGGATACCGGTCTCGCGCTTTGCTTGCTGGTAAAATGGAAAGCCTATTTCCTCACTTCTTCCTTTTGCATCTTCTCCAATCAAGTTGAACCATTTTCCGAGGGCTTTGATAGATCCCATCAGAATAATTGAGGGTTGCTTGCTTCACGATATCATCGTTCAAGGAATGATGATCCGCTTCCAATCTCATTTCTCACATGTCCAGTATCAACGCTCCATGTTCCAGAGATCCATTCTAGTGTTGTTGATTCTCTATTCCCTATCTTGTGAATATCGTTCTATTAGCTCATCTCCCCCGTCTTTCTATATCTTTGTGCCGCAAAATGACAGCTAGTGTTCCATCTGCGGGACAGCGAATCGTGGATGCGACACCTTTCACCTGCAGAACTGGAAGTCATTCCTGCCGTCGGGTTCAAAGACTTTCACTTCTTGCTTAAAGCTATCACACTCGGCGCTGTAATTGATGTGATACTTCGCTTGCTTTACTTTCATAGTAAGGGAAAGTACTATCCTACGTTGAGTTCCCCATTTCAAATTCCACAATATGCAAAGATCAAATGCGTTTGTCATATGGGACACCTGCAAAGAATTTCTACCACTTACTATCAATGTTATCTCATACCCCGCTCTTTGTTGATACTTTGTTGAACATTTCCATCCCACGAAAGTTGCGTGATCGGCTGGAATTCTGTCGAGCTTACGCCAAATGCAGATCGGGCCAATCAAGTTGACAAGATAACCTGGAGCCAGCCCACCGTTGCCGATACCCGTTCTTAGCACCACGCTTCCTAGCACTCCTAATATCATTGCACGAATAGCGAAACGTGGGGTAGATGGTGACATGTGAAGGCTTGGTCCAGAACAATTTATTGGACAACTGTTACCTATCACAACCTCGCTGAGAGTCATTATAGTGCAGGTAAATACTCAATCATACGGGTTTGAGAATCGCCAGAAAACAAGTGGATTGCGACATCAATTGGTTTTAGAGATATATGAAGACACTTTTGCCAGTCACGAAGGATGGGCTAAGTCTGGATATTTATTTTCACATCAACATAGCATAGCCATTGTTCATCCCTCAACAACTTCACGGATTGTTCCGAAAGTCCCAATAATGACGCCTTCGCTTGCTAAAGACCCAGTATCAGATCCAGAAATTCGTGTCAAGCAGGCTTTTAACGAGAAGACACACCATGGGGTAAGCACCACAGCCACAACCTTTCTGAACGTAGCTAATTTACCAGTACAACTACGCAGCCTATCTCCCAGTCTACGACAACAACACTACATTCCCACCCACCGAACCCTTCGAGTTCGCGGACAAAGGTACATTAGCTGAAGCAACCAAGCCTCACCTCTTCAATACCAGTGACCCAAATGTCTCCATCACCAAACTTACTCCTGGAGTCGGCACTGAGATCAGAGAACTACAACTCAGCAAGCTAAGCGATGCGCAGAAGAACGAGCTGGCGTTATTGATTGCTGAACGAGGGGTTGTCGTTTTTCGTGGCCAGGACTTCAAAGACGTTGGCGCACAGAAGCAGAAAGAATTTGGAGAGTACTTTGGGAAGTTGCATGTCCACGTAAGATTTGTACATCTTGCCAATTCTTCAAGTAGCTGATGATGTTGGCACGACAGCCTGTTGGAGCACACGTCCAAGACCACATCGAACTCCACAACATCTACCTCGGGCCAGATAACCTCTACCGTGATTGTCATCTTTCGATCCTCCCAAGTTTTCACAATCCGAAAATTCGCGTGAAACGAGAGCAAAATAAATATTAAAAATTCTAAACTGAAAAATAAAAATAGACATCAAAAGCAAGACATCAAAAGCAAAACATCAACAACTCGCGCTCACCGTCGGAGATGATCGGGAGCTGCGAGCTGTTGGTGCCCAAGCGCAAAGCGTTGTTGATATATCAACCATACGGCCAGCCGAGTGGTTGATGGTAGAAGCTTTGCTTATTAGAATCTATATGTGTACTTAGCGAGTTGGTCAAAAAAAGAGAAGGCTACGCTAATATATGGATGCGATTGTGGTATCGATAAGAAGAAGGCTAAGAGTTAGTGGTTTGTTGATATATAGCATCATCGGTGACGACTATGCTCTTTATTAGCCGAAGGAGGCTGATGTTAGTTCAGGTATTGTGTTCCATTGACAAAAGGAAGATATCTCATTGAATTTTAAAATTGAAACTTCATGACAAGCAAACTCGAGAGCCTCTGAACCAACTATGTAAGGTCTAGGAGCACACGTGAGAGAAGTTAGCTCTCCTGCTCATTTGACAAGAAGAGCTTTTGAAAAAAGTTTTAGTGGCATGGCTTGAATCCCTTGCCTAACTGTATCAAAACCCAGCCCAAATCAACTCGTCTCACAACAACAGGCTACCACTCCGATGTGTCATACGAGCATCAACCGCCCGCCATCACCATTTTGACACTGCTCCAAGTCCCATCCACGGGTGGTGACACGGGTTGGGCTTCTTAAGTCGTGGCTTATGAACGTCTCTCCGAGCCGATCCAGAAATTGTTGGAGGGGCTAAGAGCTGAACACTCTGGACATCCTCAAGCGGAGGGGGCGAGGAGAGATGGAAAGTTCGTGAGGAGAGAACCGGTTATTTCGAAGCACCCGATTGTGAGGGTTCATCCCGTCACGGGCCAGAAAGCTTTGTTCATTAATCCGGGATTTACGAGGAGAATTGAGTGGTTGAAAGAAGAGGAGTCGGATGCGTTGTTAAAGTTGCTGTTTAAGGTAACCCTGTTTCCTGGTCTCTATTGGTAAGATGAGGGAAAATGCTGACGAGGATCTGAATAGCACATCTCTCATGGACAGGTCCGTGTGAAGTGGGAAGATGGTACCGTTGCACTTTGGGACAATAGGGTTACGGCTCATACCGCTATCTCGGATTATGATGTTTCTAATCCGGAAGAGGGGTTGAGACATGGCTTCAGGATCACAACCCTGGGCGAGAGACCAGTTGGCGTGAACGGGTTGGAGACAGTTTGGTGAAGGGATGGAGGTTTAAAGAGATCTTCGGCACTTACATCATATGGAATTGTTCATCATCCTGAGTAGACTTGTGCTCTGACTCGTTTCCAACTGCAGCTTACTGCTACCCCTTTTCTTAGGCGATGCGAAATGAATAGCTTCCTTTTTCAGCACCACTCATGTGTCAACGTAGCATTCAATTATCCAACGATGAGTCATCCCCTTTATTTCTTATGCCAAAAAGATCATCTCCAGCGGACTTATGACAACGGAAACCATCGTAACTACATGAAATGCTTGATGCGCAATGATAACTTGTTGTGATATGCCTCCTAAGATGAAGCGAACCGGCCCCCAGAAATAACCGAGAGCGCTCTCGCTCCGAAACAATTGATGCCGCCTCCCCATTGGCTAGATGCCTAGGTGCCGGTTTGCCGTGCGCAGCGGATTTAAGTTCCTACACCCGATCTTCGAGACTAGCAAATCACTTTCTTTCAACATCTTTCATATATCTTGAGGCTGAAGACGATTTGCCTTCTTCTTTTGTATCATGCGTCTTTTGCTTTTCTGAAGATATCTGCGTCTCGTCTGAACTTGCCTTGCTGCAATATCTGCTATCTCGACTCGCAAGCGGCCCCCTTTTCCGATGGCGGGTACTACCGACAACAGCTCTGGTGCTATTGAGAAGGAGACTTCGATGCCATATCACGATGCATCTCGGGATTCGAAACGAGAAGCAACTTCTCCCCAAATAAAAGATGTGGACGACGAAAAGAATGAAATATCAATGAGCTCAAACGAGAAACAAACGAATCTTACCGAGCAGGAGAGTCAATCTATTCAAGCCCAACATGATCCTTCCAGAGAGCCTCCATCAGAGCAACCCATCCAAAGAGTGACGACCACTGGAGAAGACTATAGCATCTTGACAGTCACACAAAAGAAACTTATCATCATGGTGGCGTCTGTGGCTTCACTCTTTTCTCCCATGGCAACTGCTATCTATTGTCTGTATCAACCCCACTTTGACACCACTACGAGATATCATGATACTAACAAAGATAGATCCATCACTCGACACGATATCCAAGGATCTCAATGTTACGAATTCGAAGATCAACATCACTGTTACGATCTTCTTGGTACGTCTCTTTCTCCCTCGCCCTGAAGATAGCTGCTGACAGTTATAGGTCATCCAAGGAATAGCACCTTCATTCGTAGCAGACATTGCTGATCGCCAAGGTCGAAGACCAATGTACATCTACTGCTTCATCGTCTTCACAGCCGCCAACATCGGTCTAGCACTTCAAAACAACTACGTCGCGCTTCTCATCCTTCGTATGATCCAAGCAGCGGGCTCATCTGGGACCGTCGCTCTTGCAAACGGTGTCGTGGGTGACATTGTAACCTCCGCAGAAAGAGGAACTTATATCGCCTATGCTTCCCTCGGAGGAATCATGGGTCCGATGATTGCACCCATTCTCGGTGGCGTGATCGGAGAATACGCTGGCTGGCACTGGATATTCTGGTTCCTAATCATATTCTCCTGCGCTGTCTTCATACCCCTGATTCTATTCATGCCGGAAACCTGTCGAAACGTCGTTGACAACGGCTCCATCCCTCCACCCTTCTTCTCTCGCAACATCACCGATACGATCAGACATCGACATCGAAGAGAAAAAGGCCTAGAAATCAACGAAGAAAAGCAAGCCGAGTTCGCCAGCAAGTATAAATTCAGACTCCCAAACCCCATCTCAACACTCAGAGTCCTCCTAGACCCAGAAAGCGCCGTCCTCCTCATCGCCACCGGTCTCGGCCTCGGGTGCTTCTATGCGATCTCCACCGGCGCATCCGTCGCCTTCTCTCAGAACTACGGCTTCAGCCAAGTCAAGATCGGCCTGATGTTCATTCCCATCGGCGCCGGCTCCGTACTCTCGGCCTTCACTTCCGGGCGTCTCGTAGACTGGAACTACCGCCGCTGGTGCGCGAGACTGAACGTCCCTGTCATCAAAAATCGGCGACAGGACTTAACAAACTTCCCAATCGAGCGCGCGCGTCTCGAAGTCGCGTTTCCGGTGTTTTTCGTCGGAGGAGCATTCTTGGTTGCCTATGGATGGATTCTCACTGCGAAGGTGTCGGTAGCGGTGCCTGTGGTGTTTTTGTTCTTCACGGGGTATGCGCTTACGTCTTGTTTTCAGATCTTGAATGTGTTGATGGTGGATATCTATCCGGGGAAACCGTCGGTTGCTACAGCGGCGAATAATTTCGTGCGGTGCGAGATTGGGGCTGTTTTCTCGGCGGTGTTGCTCCCGTTGGTGGATAGGGTGGGGTGGGGATGGGCGTATACGATTCTGGCGCTCCTGTTTATTGGGTTTGCGCCGATGCTGTTGTTGATTATGAATAGGGGACCGAAGTGGAGGAAGGCGAGGAAGGAGAGGGAAGATAGGGCAAGGGCGCATAGGCAAGAAAAAAGGGAGTTGAAGATTGAGGCAGCGGCGAAGGGGAAGAGTTGAAGGAGTAAATTGGAATTAGGTAGAGATTGTGATTAGATTTGAGAATACTACGAGACGCAGGAAACAAACAAGTTATAATAAAAATATTAATTTCTCGGCTTATGGCTTACTTTTCAAATCTGGTTATGCCGAGTACTCACAAAATAGACTCATATTATCAACAAATCTACTTTTCATGAACCAAAGCGCCAACCCATCTATTGAACTTAACTCTATATTCTTATAGCCTAACTACTAAAATGAGCTCATTTTTCTAGTTGCCTCCCACTTATGCGCCCAACTCCACTTCTCTCATCACATTAGAGACTTCATCGAGGACATTGCCACACAAAACAACATCCCACCCACCAATTGGCCAGCCAGAAACTATTACCACTCTGCCCTCACCACACTTACTTCCTTCTTTCCATCTGCTCCACAACCATCCCCCTCTTCACCTCCCACTCATCCCAAACAACAGAAAGCACAACACTATGCCTCCCCACCCCCTCCTTCCCCCCCGTCCCATTCCTCCTCCCCAGCTCCTCCGCCTCCGCCCGCACCCTCCCCCCCTCAAGCACCCTCTCCCACCTCATAACCCCCTCAAACACAAACCCCATCCTCTCCGCCACCCTCCTCGACGCCTCACTCAACCAATGACACCTCCACACCACCCTCCTCAGCCCCAACCCTCCCTTGGCCGGCGGATCCAGCACATACAGCAACAGCAACCCGATCGCATGACTCGCCACATACGTCCTGTGAAACTGGGGGAAGATGACAATGGCCAGCTCCGTGCTGGCGTGCTTGCGACTCGTGGTTTCTAACGCGATGGTACCGGCGTATTCGTGCGTGTCTTGGGGTGAGGATGGCGTACATGCAGTCTGAGGGCTGGGCGCGACGGGGTCCGTAGTAGTAAGTTGTGAAATCTGAGGTGGTGTGGATGGTGGCTGGGAAGGACATGTATTTGAATTGGTTCGGGGTGCGTGTTTATGGCGTGCATCCAGGGCGCGGAGTGGATTTTCGGCTGTAGGGTGGGGTGTGTTAGATATTTTCTGGTGGAAATGGAGGTTGGTAGTAGAGGGGTGGGAGCGGTACGTCGAATATTTCTAGTGAGATGCGATCGTTTTCTAGGCGGCGCTGCTGGTAGTATAAATTATTCTCGGTGTCGAACATCGTTACGAGGATCGTAGAATTATCTTTTGTTCAGGTTCAATTTATTGCAGATGGATCAGATTCCTAACTTTTAAATTTGTTTTTATAGACGTAGGTACGTATTGATGGGAATTTATCTTGATGCCTACAGCAGCGCATTCATTGCGCACTCCGTGCTTGAAGACGGAACTCGGTCCTCACTCCGATTAGCTCACAGTGCTGTCAGACCAAGCACAAATTCGATCATTTACATTCTTGGAATAGGTCGATTCTTAATAGAGACCATGATTGGACATGAAAATAGTATAGCATGCAAGAATCAAATGAAAAGTTATGATAAAAATATTACTTTCTCGGCTGACTATTTTAACTCTACTTATACCGAAGGCCGTCAAAATATAAACTCACATTTTTAATCAACGACCGACTTTTTACTCGCACAATCAAATTCTCCATCAACCCAATCATCCACTCTTACAGTCCAGCCCTCTCCACTTACCTCACCACTCCTCATCTTCTTCCTCCGGCCCCATAACCCAGACTTGCCACTTCCCCTTCACACTCCCACTCCTCTTCAAACCTAGCCCCGCCGCTCTATCTCTCGCCATAAAGAACGTATCTCTCACCCGCTCCTTAATCTCCTCCCATTCAACCTCATTCCCGACCTCTTTCACCACAAAACTATCCCGGTACCCCCAATTATACTTAAAGATTAGATACTCTGTCTTTTCTCTATCCCTACCGCTGCGTTCACAGAAGAGCGTGAAGAAGTCGGTGATGGAAAGAGAACGGAAGTCGGATGCTGAAAGAGGGTTGTCATGGTCTGCAGACCGCTTTTGGTTCTCGAGGATGAAGGTTAGGCGTTGATGGGAGAGGGGCGCAGTAGCAGATGATGGTTCAGGGGTCTCCGTTTGACGCGGCGTGGAGAGTAGTGGTCGAGCGACTGATGAGGAAGTGGATGCGGGTTTAGAGTCCGTGGGTGAGGTGGCTGGGGTGAGAGTTTTTGTTGTTGAGTCTGGGATGCGGAATTGCTGGGGACGCTCTGGGAGAGACGGGTTTGGGATTGCAGCTTCTGGCATTGCATATGGTGCTGCTGGGGGTGGTCTGGGGTGGAGAGTTGCAACTGCGTTGGAAGTAGTGTTGGGGGGATTGTTTGGAGCAGGGTTTGCGGCAAGCTTAGGCGTTCCAAATGGCGGGGTTGCAATCTTCAGTGTTGCGTTCTGCGGCATTCCGTTTTGTGAAGCTACGTTCTGAGGACCTAAGCTTTGAAGCGTAGCAAGCTGAGGAGGCATGTTTTGAATTCCATTCGGAACTGAACTCAGAACCCTCCTCGAAACTGGTTCTAGGGGTCCTGGGCCGGGAGGTTCAGCTGGGTTGATTAGCGTGTGATGAAATCATAAGAGCTTCATTGGTATCATGAGCAGACGGTACATACCAAAGTTTCCAGTGGACTTGCTGCGAGTAAGTCGTGACGGACTGAGATTTAAAAGGTCATAGTTAGCATTCTCGGGCGTGTTATTGCTGCTAGCTGGCATTGATTCACGTGAACGCCGAGGAGGCTGCGGCTGCGTAGAAGCATTCACAGGACCAGGGCCTCGTTCAAGTGGTCTAGTACGAGGCATTGAAGAGGTGTGAAATTGAAGATCGGTTGGATGGACGTTGCTGGGCAGAACATTGACAGGGGTAAATGCTGGAGCTTTGGGTGCTGCAGTTGGAGGCGTGGGGGCCGTGGGCAGTGGAGCTCGAGCTGGCATTGGAGCTCGATCGAATTGTACGGGTTCGAACTGTACTGGTATGAACTGCGGAGCTGACTGAGTATTAAGAGGCATGGGGTTCTGGTTCGGCATAAGCTTGATGGCATAGATCTCCATGAGTACCTTGTGCTTACTTGGTTTATGGGGGACTGAGGAGTATTGCCATTCTCAACTACTCCCATTGGATTATGTGTAGTCGTTTTCTGCCATCCCGCTAGAATGCTACCCTCGATACTGTTCTTTGGTCGCTTTGCGCTTGGCTCTGGGTTTATGACGGGGTCCGAATCTGTAGGAGACGGTGAAATGTTGTGAAGCTGCTGATCATAAGTGTTCTCTTCATCAATAGGACGTTGCTCGTAGAACACATACCCTCTTTTTAGTTGGATTCTCTTCTTTAAATGTTGCCGTCGGTGCTTGGTTGAGCTCAATGACACCGTCAGTAAGGCCACCGTGAACCTTGAATGCCCACGAGTTTCTGTGAAATTTCCAAGCATTTTCGAATTGAGAGGATTTGACGAATCCATTTGGAGTCTCTATGAGGAACCCAGATCCTTTCTCGCCCCAAAGAGATGAGATGTCTTTGATGAGGTCTTTACATCTTTGGCGAATGACGACTGTTTGAGCAGAATCGACTTCAAGATTTAAGCGCTTCTGCAAAGCCAAGGCAAAACGCTTTACTTGAGAGCGATTCGATTTCGTGAAAGTGTACAGGTTCCGTTCGTGAAAATAGCGGAAAGCGAATGCTTGCTCACTATCGGGCCACGGCTGCTGTGTCTAGAAGGAGTGTTAGTTGTCAAAATTCTACAGAGCAATCTGGAGTTGCTCACATCAAACAGCCAGCTGTCTGGGGATACTGTCTGGTAAACTTCATTGACGGGGTAGGTGTATTCGAGATGCCTTTCGATGCTCCTCTTCGTTCCACTAACGCTGGTTAATATGACACATTAGTAGTGCATTGGCAAGGGCTGACTAACGTTGCCTCGACTCCATTCGAATTCTCTGGCCGTTTAGGCGGAAGGGGCTGTTTCGGCTGAACGTGTATTGTGGATTCATCCACCACCTCCACCTCTTCCATTTCGCTCTCGCTGAGCTCCTGATAAACCTGGAGTGAAGTCAGAGGGAAGATTCTAGTCCATGGTGATCTTGTAATGCCCTCACTTGTTTCTTCCTTCTCTTGAGATATTCATCGTTTCTTCGAAACATTGATTCTTGGGTACACATCAGCTTTCCAAGAATTTCTAAGATCCTAGAAAGAATTCAGCAAGATGCTCTCTTATACGTCATTCAAGTGCCGTGCATACTTCTCCTTGTCATCCGGTAATGTAAGCCGGGAGGCATCACGTGATTCATCCGTAGGGTCGAAGAGCTGCTCGTTTGCTGCCAAGAAGTCATTTGCGCAAGACTGGACCACGGCATCGTCGTATTGCAAAGGAAACAAATGTAGTCCACGGCCCTTGACAAAATTCTTTCGAAAGTCGATGGCCTTCTGGCTGAGTCCGAGGTAGGATCGCGAGCTCGAGCTCTTAGACGCATCTCCAAAGCCGAGCGATAAACAAATATCTGCGACCTTGCCATGACCCGGGTCTTGGAAGTATATCGCGCGTTCTTCTGGCGACATACCCGAAGCCATCGTGATGGGATCGAGAAGAATCCAACAATGACGGATGAGTGAGGAGGTGTAAGGAAAAGGAGACGGGAGGGCAGAAAGTTTTGTTAGGAAATTAAAAGCAATGTTGGGTTCGCGCGTTAGCTCGGCATTTACCACCCTACTAGCAACCCGTAACCCCTTAAAATAGATGATCAAACAACGCACGCCCATTCAATAATCAGCCACCCGAGGATGATCGGCCGCCCGGTAAAGGCGTTCTAGTTGTAGAGATATTATTCTCGAGAAATAGATCTCCTCCAAAGTCTCAAGTTGCGATTATTGACCTCCAGCTCTGAGTCGTGTTCCTACTTCACGTGATAGTTAAGAGGCTAGGTAGCAGCGGGTCATTTTTGGGTCATGGCCACCACCTTTTAGCCTAGTCTAATAAGATTACAAATATCTCAAAATACCTGAGTGCATTCCTCTCTACCATTGCGTGTTTCGATTAAGTCCAATATTACCCGGAAAAGCCAATCGTCGCGCCTCTAATCTAATCTCGCTAATCAATAACCTTTATAAACTCGAGCTTTCCACTTTCTTCCTTTCTCTTACACAGATCAACGCCGAAATGCGCATGTTCAAGATAAGGCCCCAGTACATTCGAATGTTCCCGTTTGCTGAGTCCAGATTTACTAGATGAGTTACCGCGGATCACCCTCCATCGATATCTCCTACACATCTTCATCGTCCGCAGAATTGGAAGTATCCTTCCAGAACTACGTCGAGACCTCCCGAGCATTTTCGCGATTCAAGAATAGTGTGGTGGGACAGCGCCGAAACACGACAGCATGCGGGAACGCCCAAAGCGATACCAATCCACCCGAACAGTGGGAGACGACTTAAAACGCCATTGGGAATCACTACGCCGTTATTGCGACTTATCTTACTTTGATTGGCAATACGCTGTTTTAGTTAACTCGCATAGATAACCATGCAGGCGGCCGACTCATGTGTGCGGCACAGTAAGATTACCTGCTTCTAGTCATTGCTCGCTATAACATACCTACCGGCAGCATGACCCTGGCGCACCAGCTGTCGTACGTGCGACCAACCGCGTTCTTTCAAATTCTGTAGTGGAACGTTCAAGAATGGAATCATTGCGACAGGATGCGATCGATAATTGAGCAGGACGCCCGAATCTGAAAATCGCAATCAAAACGTCACATGCTACAAGAATCAACAAGATGATAAGGTAATTATTTATGCTCCTCTCAACGCAGTATGTCGTAAGTCAAGTTCCTACAATATGATTACTTATCACGATCCTCGATATTTTCCTTCACTTAATCGTGCCAAATTTAATCCCTTTTCTGGCCCACAGTACTAGTGTTCTGTCCCCTATTGTCCAAATTCTCAACCTGCTCTACGATATCAGCCTTCTCCGTCACCAAGGCACGCACTTTCATCTCCTCCACGGCATCCTCGCCATCGAAAGTACGAGAGATCTCTTCGAGCGTTGCGCCTTTCGTCTCGATGAAGAAGAAATACACCGTGACCAGCTGCAGAATCTCTTAGTAATGGTACACATGGCTTTCACCACTAGACTGACCTGTAGAAGAAGCGTTCCTTCAAACAAAAAGTAGTATCTCCAACTTGCATGCTCGATACCAATTGGATTGACATATTGGTTAAAGAACAACATCACATTCGTCGCCAAAGATTGAATCATAAGACCATTCGCACGCAGTCTGTACGGTAGGATCTCGCAGGGATATGCGACGTTCAATGAGACCCTAAATTCACTCGTCAGCACTAGCTACATTTTCATCGGATGATACAACTCACCAGCATAGATTATAGAAGAAATTATGGAAGAAAATGATGGCAATAACGCCTTTTCCGGGTCCAGCAGCTCCAGTCCGATTCTGCACAGCAGTCAAAGCAATCCAAGTCGCGAACGTACAGCACATGCCCGAAGCGGAGGTGAGGAACAGCGGTCGACGACCAACCCGATCCACGAGGAGAGCGAAACAAATGGCTTCGATCCAGTTTGTTACGCCGATGATGCCGTTGAGCCGGTTTTGGAATTGTGGATTGGTGATACCGATGTCTGAGAGAATTTTGCTACCGGGTTGTCAGCTTTTCCCGGACGATTATTGACGGAGGGGCAGATTACCTCAAATAGTAGCCAGTGAGACTCGTTCCGGACATCTGGGAGAAGAATCCGCAGCAGAGACAAATGAAAAGACGCCTTCGATTTCCAGCTATCGCACAGCAAGTCAGAATTTCTCAGATCCCGGAGCTTCGCACTACTCACAAGTATTGATCAAGTCCATGTACCTGCCCTTAGAATTAATCTTCTCTTCTTTGAGAGCTTCCTTTATCTCAGCAAATTCAAACATAATAACCTCATCATGAATGTTGCCATTAGCATGATACTTGGCCATGACCCTCATCGCTTCTTCCTGTCGATCTTTCGAGATCAAATATCTCGGACTTTCCGGCAGGAACCAGAGGAAACAGAGTTGGAAAGCGCTTGGTGCGACTTGCAACAAGCTGGGCAGTCTCCACGACCAATTGCTGGAGATTTGCAACGTCCCGTAGGTTGTCCATGCTGCGATTGTTGAGCCGAAATAATAGAAGGTGTTGTAGGTTGCGGTGATCTTTCCTCGTTCGTTGGGGTGCGCTAGTTCTGTGATGAGCAGGGGACTGGCGATACCGTTAATTCCTGAGCCAAGTCCGACTGTAATATGAGTTAGTGATGGACGAATGTGTGACTTGAGAAAGCCTTACTGAAGAATCTTCCAGCGATGAACATTCCAGTGTCTGTTGCTCCAGATTGAAGGCCTGCTCCAAGAGCCACGATAAGACTTCCAATGAAAATACTGTACTTTCTGCCAATCCAGTCTGCCAAGTTCGGCGCAAGTGGTAGAGAGCAAACAGATCCTACAGATTGAATCGCGTTGAGAAGTCCTTGGCGAGATCCATTGGGGTTTTTGAAATCTGAGACCATCAATGACCACTGAGCGCCAAAGAATGGTACAAACAAAGCTCACAAGTTTTCCAATAAGTCAGGGCCTGCAGCCCATTCATCATCGATCTAGAAATGTCAGCAGAACTCCAGCGAAATCATCCAGGCATCACATACCCATCATACCCATTGGTAGCCGAACTCAAGATCGCAATGAAAATGAGGAAGTATAGCTTTCGCAACCCGGGGTCCTGGAACCACCATCTCCCCTTGTTATGTCGGAGTTCAGGTATATCAAGAGTGTCGAGTCGACCAGGATCAATAGGTGGAGCAGCCGTATCGGTAGCCATGTCTGTATTGTAGAAACGTCAAAGTGGAGAATGATGATAACAATCGAATGCAAGATCAATATGACAGGAATTTATCTGCTTTAGTATTTCCCCTGATTACATTATCTCCTCTCCTACGACGAAACGTTTTTCCGAGCATCAAATGCATTTAACCGGTTCTCACGTCCACATCATCATAGGATACCAAACTTCACGAGCCCAAGAACGATGTCAAGCTTTGAGGCGACGCTGATCTATTCCCAAGAAGTGCTGTCAAGCATGGGGCCTCCGCGTTCACCCCGCATTCCCGCCCGCGTCTGGAAGAACATTGGCGCGACAGCTCGGATTTGGAGCTATTGATTTAGCCTAAAAGTAATTGACAGCTCCTCTATTGGGTTTGAGCCCCTCTGGAGAAACGGAGTTCGGTCTGAATCTTTACGTGCATTATGGAAACACTTTTCGTTGGTCGAAAAGAGGAAGTGTGGTTCCGATCTGGTGGTTCAGCACCGTGCCAGCTTACCGATTGCCGCATCGTGTCTTTGTGACGCTTGAGTCCTAGATCATGCTTGCAAATAGTTGTTTGTGGCTGCACAAAAAATAAATAGAAAATACTGCACGTCATTTTTGTTCACAGAGTTGGAGAGAAATTGTTTCAAGGCGCCCGCTTCGCGCATTCGTCGTAGGAGAAATCATATCAAGAACTACACACCAAATAACTTACCAGTAGCTTCGAAACTGAATTGGTCTTCATTCAATATCCTAATCTAAAGATAGTGTCAAGTCAACGTCGAGGTTGTCGAGTGTAGCAGCATCAAGTACTAAGCGAACGTCCTCGAACCCGACGCCACGGATATCCCTGACCCTGAAAGTACTCCGTGCCCATGTCTTTAGGTCAGATCGAAGAAACTTTATCATCCTAACATATGACGAATTGGGCCCGACACGAAATTACCCCTAGAATAGGTAACTCTGTGGGTCTGGGGAATGCGGGGATGCCGTGGATAAAGTCATAGCTTACTTAGGCCAAATGTACCCGAGACCCTGCTAAGTTGTCACCAAAGCGTGGCCGAGCAAGCTTTCAATTAATTTTAACGTAATATATATATTTATTTCGAAATTCGGATTATATTATACGAATAAAAATAT